GCAGGAATCTCAGTTTCCTCATCTGCAAAGTGGGAGGATGAACATCTCAAGGTCTGCCTGGCCCGGCTGTTGGGAGGACTGAGTGAGAGCTCTGTGAAGAACCCCTGACACAGGGTTGGCACTCAGTAGCAAGTAGTAGGTGCTCTGTAAATGATCTGAGAGAGAGGATTTGGGAGGGGGATTGACACCAGTGAATGGTCAGAACAGGGAGGCTGAGGTTGGCCTCCAGAGGGGTGTGGGTTGGGATGGCTGGGACCCCACAGGAGGGGAGGGAGGGAAGCGGGATGTGTGCACCAGGCTGTTCTGCACTCCTCACCCTGCCATCCCCGCCCTGCACAGACAGAGCTTCGGGAGTGTGACCACAATAAGTTCATGAGTGTCCTGGACACCAGCAAGGATCGCGAGGTGGACTTTGTGGAGTACACGTGTCTGCTTGCCTGCCTCTGCGCCTGCGGCCATGAGTACTTCAAGGACTGCACCCTGGGCCCCCACTGCTCCCAGTAATGGGAGGGGCTGCCATCGGAGGTTAGGGGTCTGGGTCTCCTCTGGACCTGCTCCATCTCTGCCCTGAGGTCATCCTGGGCATGTCAGCTCTCCCCCCTCCCCCCTCCCTTGTCCCCTCCATCTAGAATCTCCCAGGTTTGCCCCTGGTATGTTAACCCCTTTTACCCATGAGTCCAGGAGACGTGAGGGGACCTTCCCCGGGATCACAGCCAGTGACCTGTAGAACAGCCAGCCGCTGACTCCCCACTGTGGCCCATGATGGACGGAGGCTGTCAAGGCCCAGCAGAGCGTGTGCGGGAAGGAGACCACGGTGGGAAAGGGCCTATTTTGCTCCTAATAAAAAACTGGCATCCCTTGGCTCGGTTTGGTTCTTCTGAGAGGACAGCCGGGGGCTGGGAACAGAGTCCCGCTGAGGCTTCACTCCCCTCTGGCCTTTTCCACTGGAGGACAGGAGGCTGAGGGCACTTTCAGACCTCGTGGAAATGAAATGGTCTTAACGTCCTGCAGGAGGGGGTGGGGTCGACACGGGAACAATGTCCATGGGAGGCTGGTGTGTGTGTGTGGGTCTCTCTCTCTCTCTCTCTGGGGTGTCTCTGAAGGAGAAGCTCCCTTGGGGACTTCCTTGGTGGTCCAGTGGTTAAGACTCCGCACCCCCAATGCAGGGGCCCTAGGTTTGATCCCTGGTCAGGGAACTAGATCCCACGTGCAGCAACTAAGACCCGGCGCAGCCTAAATACATAAATAAGTAAATAAATATCGTTTTTTAAAAAAAGAAGCTCCCTTGGGCTGTCTAGGAGGGTGAGAGGGTATGGAACTCAGTCCACTGGACAGGATGTTCTGAGGCGAGGGGAGGGCCGTAGTGGAGGGGGTGGGTCTGTTCCCCGCCTGGGGCTGTGGGAACCCAGAGTGCAGTACTAATAGGATTAGGGTGTCTGAGGTCCAACTAGGGTGTTTCTCCCTGATGTAGGGGGTGCCCTACATTGGAGGGGGAAGGGGAGACCTGCAGGCCGACCCTCTCCCTGAAGCCACAGCCACCTGAGGGGCTTCACATCCCCTCTCCTGACCCTCTCTCAGTCTCTGAGTTCATACCCTACCCTGAGAGGTTCCCCTGACCCCTGCCTCCCCCATTCTGTGCCGTATCACCTCTAACTTTCCACCGCAACCGGCCCTCTTCATTCCTGATGTCCATCCCAACTCTAAATCCCCCTCCTGACATCCTCCTCTTTCCCATGTGCTCGTGGTCCCGTCAGTGGATCCCTGAGACCCGAGGCCTGACGCCCCCTCCCCATTCCATCACTCCCTCATCCAGGTCCCTTCTCCACGGATGTGTCTGTGGGGGTCCCAACGCCTCCTTTGGGTGTTAGCCTGTTCCCCCTCCAAGACCCCCCAGCTCCTGTCCTGGGCCTCACTCAGCATTGTAGAAAGCCCCCTTGGCAGGGAGGAAGGGCAGTGTGAGCTGTCCCCCAGCACTGAACCTGGGGGCCCCTCCCTCCGTTCCAGGGCAACCCCATTCCAGGACCACCTCCCACCTGTCACCCCACACCCCTGAATCCCCTTTCCTCTATGCCGGCTGCCCAGTGGGACCACTCCCTCCCTGACCCTCATGCCCCAGGCACAGCCTGCTCTTCCCCCAGCTCCCTAAAACTCAAGCTGAGCTGCGCACACCCACCCACCGAGGCCCCTGCCTGTGCCCACTGGGGCTCTCCCATTGTCCATGTGTGCCTGCCCACAGCAGGAAGCTGGGTTTCCAGGCTGGCTGGTGGAGGGGCCCGTAGCCTTTACCACATGGGCCCGGGATAAGAGGGCTGTCTCCCTCTCTTCTCCATCCCCTGACATGGGCAGGGCCTGGCCAGGGGTATAAATAGGTCAGACTGCTGGGCTTCCCCCACTCTTCCTCTCTCTCCAACCCTCTCTCCTCAGCACTTCTCTCTTGGCTTGGTGAGTTGCGGTCACACGACTGGCATGCAAGTGGTGTGCAAGGGGTGTCAGGCCGAGGCTGGGGCAGGAGAAGGGGAGGCTGGTGGGGTCCAGATGTGCTAAGTGGGTCCAGATGTGAGATTCCGATGTGGAGGCTCTGGGGAGGGATGTGTGTGTGCACGTGCACGTGTGTGTGCATGCAAGAGAGAGAAAAACCAAAAAGTGTGCAGGTGGCTGACGGGGAGCTATCGGAGCCGTCCTGTGATTCTGGGGCTTGCACGCGTTGTTGCTGTAGTATGTTGTGGGGTGCGTGTGACTGGGGGGTATGCATGTTGGCTTGTGTTTGCTGGGTTGCCCTAGCCTGTGCGTGCACACTCACGGGGTGTAGGAAGCACAGTGAAGGCAGAAGGCGACTGCGGGCTTTTGTCTGGTTGTGTCCTGGGAGACTCTGCCCTGCACGCAGCAGCCTGACCCAAGGGAGGGTGGCCTCCCCATCCTCCCTGCATCTGTGCCCCTGCCACCTCACCCTGCTCCTCCCCACGCTAGGCGCTAGGCCACTGGTTTTTTCCGCTACGGGGCCCTGGGCAGGCTTCCAGCAGCCGCGCCCAGCCCAACGACCCAGCCCAACGCTTGGAGGAAGAAGAATGGGCTGGGGTGGGGCTGCTGTAGACTGAGCGTGGGAGTGAATGAACCGAGTGAGGGGTGAAGAAAGCGCTCTTGTGGAGCTGGCTGCCCAAAACGCAGAGCCTGTGCCCCGGGCCCTGCAGGGGTTCGCTGCCCCAAGCACGATTTCCCACTGTGCACACCCATCCGCCAGGAGCCGAACCCCACTTTTTGGGCTGCCTCTATGGTGGGAGCAGAGTCTCACCAAGTGCTCCCTGAGGGATGGGATTGGGGTGGGCATTCTGAATACATAGCCGGGGGTGGGGTGGGGAAAATTAGGGTGTCTCTGTGACCCTGCCCCCAGATCCTGACTGCCGGCATGGCGTGCCCCCTGGAGAAGGCCCTCGATGTGATGGTGTCCACCTTCCACAAGTACTCAGGCAAGGAGGGTGACAAGTTCAAGCTCAACAAGTCTGAGCTAAAGGAGCTGTTGACCCGGGAGCTGCCCAGCTTCTTGGGGGTGAGTGATACTGCCTGGGAGGCACCTGTTTTCTGCGAAGCATTAGCTACAGCTGGCATCTATAGCTGTCGATCAGCCATCTTGCTGAGACGGGCAAGTCGGGGCAGAGAGCTTGCTCTGTCTGCCTGGGGTGGAAGCACAGTGAGTATCCACTGCTCACTTCCTGGCTCTCTGCAGAAAGATGGCTGAGAACAAGCCGGTAGGCTACGGGTCAGACTCTGCCAGGTGTTTGCACAACTTAACTGGAGATAAACTGAAGGTCAGAGAGGCTACGTAACTTCCCAAGGTAGTCAGTGTATAAAGCCGAGATCCATGAGCCAGGACGTTCCAACGCTTGCCATCACTACAGCAATGAACAATTTTTTTTTTACGACTGTATGAAAATTGTGTCTTCTTTTTTTTTTTAAATTGAAGTATAGTTAATTTACAATGTTGTGTTAGTCTCAGGTGTACAGCCAAGTGATTCAGTTATATATACACATATATATTTTTTCAGATTCTTTTCCATTATAGGTTATTACAATATATTGAATATAGTTCCCTATATTATACAGTAAATCCTTGTTGCTTATCTATTTTATATATAGTAGTGTGTATCTGTTAATCCCATATTCCTAATTTATCCCCCCAACCCCAAACGATTTTTGAGTTTCTATTTGGCTTGTGGATGTGAAGACACAGTTATGGAGACCCTCATACACCTACAGACTTCCCCTGAGCAATCACAGATGCCATCTGTATCAACCTTTATGCAGTTTATACATTGCTTTCATGACCATTGTCTAATTGGATTCTTAAAATGACCTTGGCAGAAGATGCTGTGGTCCCCTTTATCCAGTTGTACCCAGGTACTCAAGACTTCTTTGTCTGAGGGGTGGCCTTCCTCCAGCCCTAGCCTAGCCCTCAGGGCTAGAGGTCCAAAGCTGGGCCCCGCAAGGAGTGGCTAAGCCTTCCTGGGCTCCCATCTGGAGGTGCAAACCTGGTCTAGTCCTAGCTCTGGCCACTCCCACACCAGCCCTGCCCGCCGCCACCCCACCCCCACCGCCTCCCACCGCGGACTTCTAGTTTCTACCTGCAGCCTCTTCTTCCTGCAGAAAAGGACAGATGAAGCTGCATTCCAGAAGCTGATGAGCAACCTAGACAGCAACAAGGACAACGAGGTGGACTTCCAGGAGTACTGCGTCTTCCTGTCCTGCATCGCCATGATGTGCAATGAGTTCTTCGAAGGCTGCCCCGATAAGCAACCCCGGAAGAAATGAAGTCTCCTCAGATGTGCGGGGCAGGGCCTGCCAGCTGGGGTCTTCCCTGTTGGCGGTGGGCACAGCCCCTCACACTGGCTCCTCCAGATGTGAGCGCGATACTAAACAAGTTCAATAAAGATTCTTGAAAGCTATGAGGCTGATGGTCTGAGAGACTCTGGGGGCGCTGGGAGTTGAGCTGCGGTTTTGTGGCAAGTGGAGAGCAGACCAGAGAAGGTGGGAGATGGATGTGGGTGACTGTGCACAGGTGTGGGGGACAGAGTTGACTCTGGATGTAGCCGAAGGCAGGGAAATGGACCCCCAGAGGCTTGGAACGGTAGGATCTTAGCCAGGGCACTCACCCATCCCACCTCCCCAACCTTGCCTCTGGCAGGACCTCTGAGTGAGGCTGGGATGGGATCGAAGATCACATCTGCTCCTGGTTGGGGTCCGGAATGGAGTGCGGGTGCCCTGGGGGTGGTGGGGGAAGGGCTGAGTCATGGGGAGGAAGTAATGAGGCCAGAGTGGGATGGGGAGGAAGTCTCAGTCCTGACATTTACGGCCCGGGTGCTGCCTGCCACCCCTTCCAGTGCCCTGGCTTCAAAGCCCAGGGATGGATGAATCCTACCATTCCACAGTCAGATCAGGGAGGTGATGTGGAGGAAGAGAAACCACAGCATGAGAATATCATCCTTCCCTAACTCCCATCTCTGTCCCAGGGGCCCTAGGATGGGATTTATTACCAGTTAGCACTCATGCTCCAACAGAGGAGGACAAAGGATCTTGGGAGGGATGAGGGGAGGATAGTGGCTGGGGTGGGAGGGAGGGAAGTGGTGGGAGGTGACCATAGTTTTGGAGACAAAATTCCCGGCATAGGGATCCGATAAATGAAGTTGAGATTTTTTTCTCCCCACAGAAAATATCAGGCATGGTATTAGTTCTCCTTAGGTTGAAGCCAGCAGCTCTAGCCTGCAATGGGTGGGATTGTGGTTAGTTTCCAGGTCATGCCTGGGTGGTACAGGGATCTTCAAGGAAGAGGTGAGTAGAGGGCAGGTCCAGAGGCAGGGAAGGTCTGGTTCCCTTGACTTTTCTAGCTTTCCCCTTTCCTTCTCATCACATTGTGTTTTTGTCTCAAGTTTCAGAGGAGTGGGGTAGGTGACTCAGATGTTCCCTCAGAGTGTGACTATAGAGACTTGGGTAGAATTTTGATCCAGGAAGGAGTTTGCCACTTCCCCCTTCTCCCTCCCCCCAGCCCCAGTCTGCCCATCTTCCACGGAGTGCCGTCCCCTGGGCCTCCTCCTGCATCACTCCCTACTTCGGAAACTCCTGTTGCTTAGTGACCAGTCCCTGCTGCCTCTCTACCTTGGCAGCTGGGGGTGGGAGTGGAGTGGGGGGCAGTGGGGAGCATCCAGGCAGGCTAGGGTGGGGCTGCAGCAGCAATAGGTGCTAAGCCCCTAACTCCATTCTGTTCTCATACTTGGACTGGTTGGTGGTAGAACAATGTCTGAGTCTCTCCTGGGATACAGGCAACTCTCCCTGATCCCCACACTGGTCATTTCTGCACCCTGAACCTGTTCCCCACAGTCCACAGCTTCTACCCCATCACCCAGCCCTATCCTTCCCTGATCTCTGCCTCAGTCCCTGATTCTCAGTTCTCCACTCCAAGAGTCTCTGACAATTCCTTCCCATGGTGATGAGTGAGGTTTAGAAGAAATCATTCATTGAAAAGCCTTTAAAAAATCTTAGGCTCCATACTTGCTAATGACTTTGACTATGCCCTCGGCAGGAAACATCTTCCCCCACTGATTCCCATCTTGAGATGTCTGTTCTGCTTTTGGAGTGGGTGGGAGGGCCCCAATGTGGAGAGTGGCCTAGGGTATGGGAGGACACTCTGCATTTGTCCCGTACCTCCTGAATCTTCTTTCCAGGGAGCCTGGCTGTTGACCCATCAGATTGTGAGTTCTGATTTTTCGTTGGGAAGACAAAGCTTCCAGGACTGAAGACGTGTGTGCCATGGTAAACTCAGTGTGCCCCCCCGTCCCATCCTTGTTTGGAAACAAGGAAGTTGAGATTGGCAGAGGGGGTTTCTCCCCATCTGTGTCCCAGGAGGCTCTGACCTGGGCCTCCTTGTCTCTGGCCCCTTGTTATTGGCCCTCTCTCTTCCCTGGTTTCCTGGGGACTGGAGCAAGGGAATTAAAGTCAGAGACCAGTGGGAGGGAGCCTGCTTCTGCTGCATGAGTTCTCTGGCTCTCTCCTTCCTTGGAGTCCTTCCTTTTCATCTCCCTGCTCATTTATATGGTGGGGCAAGCTGGGCGATGAGGCCAGAGGGTGACTAGCTCTGGTGACCTCCGCCAAGGAAGGCCGGGCCCGATGAGTGGGCATGTGTTTGGAGAGAAGAGGGCAGAGTATTTGGAATCATGGCCCTGGGGGTGGAGGTGGGGATCAGAACCAGCCAGGATGCTGCTGCAGATGCCCAGAGGCCTTGCCTTCCACTGTGGTCCTGGTTGAGTCTCCTGGCAGTGGGGAGAGGCTGAGGGTTTGGGGTGGTAAGAGATGAATTTCAGGTCCAGTTCTAGAATCGTCAGGTGGGCTTTGGTCTGTAGGTAAGAGGCAGAAGCTTCTTCCTCCTTTCCTTGCTCCGGACTCAGCACAGATTTACCTGTAGCCCCCAGGTTCTTGGGTGTTGGCTCCTTCCTGCCTAAGAGGGAAGTGGTTTCCAAGTCTGAGTCACAGGAGCTCCAGCTGCTTCTTCTCTTGGGCGGGTGTGGCTGTGCCGATGGACTGGAGGGCCCCATTCAGACCCAACCTCTGGATCCAGCTCTCAGAATGACCCTGGAGGTTTCAATAGGCCCACCCCCTTCACTGCCTCGTGGCTGGTCTGTATGCACAGTTCTCTGGGCCAGAGGCTGGCGACCAGCTGGATGAGTCCTGGCACCCCTCCTCGACTTCCTGTTGAGATCTTACCTTCCAGTTCTAGCTCCAGCCTCCTCCAACCCCTGGACTCTCTCTTTGCCCTGTCCCCCACTTCTATAATGGGACACTCCCTGATATTAGGTGACTCAGGGACCCGGGCCAAGGAGGGTGACTTGGGTGAGGACGGCCTCTGGAAAATGAGTGCCCAAGATGGATCGGGCAGGGAGAAAATCCTGACCCTTCACTGGCTCCACCATCTGTCATCAGTTCTTCTTTTGAGGAGGCCATCTTGTCACCCTTCTGTCCCTAGACCCCTTTTTCAACATCTCCTAAGCGGGAGAGTGTGCAGTCTCCTTTCAGCCTGGTCAGTCTCACTGCTCCAGCTGTTCCAAGTTTGCCTTGGTTCTCACTACAACCTGTCCTGAGACACTGGGGTCCACTTGGTAGATTTTGATCTCATCGTGGGTTCCAGTAGCCGGTCCTTGAGGGAGAGGCTTGGAGGTGGGGTAGTGATGGGGGGAAGCAGAAGGTCCAGCTTCCTGGGCAATGGGATCTTTTCCTCTCCCTTCAGCCTCCAGAACTGCACACCATGTTGGAGACGTCTTTGGAGAAGGCCCTGACCACTATGGTCACCACTTTCCATAAATATTCAGGGAGAGAGGGCAGCAAACTGACTCTGAGTAGGAAGGAGCTGAAGGAACTGATCGAGAAAGACCTGTGTCTTGGTGAGGTAGGTGTCGGTCCCTCCCCTGCACCCCAGAGTCCCAGTGCTCCGTGGGCACTGTGGGAGAGGGGAGGGGAAAAAAAGAGGAAGCACTGATGCCACCCCCGGGGGCTTCCCAGCATGAGGTGGGAGGCCCAGCGTGAGGGGATGCACACCTACCCACAGGGTACACTAGTCTCAGCAAGGACAGGATGGCCAAAGGGTACAGACAGAGACCCAAGGAAGGGGGTGAACATCTTGCGCCGCGCCTGGGGCTGAGTCAGGTCTCACTGGGAACGGAGAAGGGCAGTGTCTGGAGGGTGGACCTCAGCCTGCACGAAGGTTTAAGAGAAGGAGATCAAGGAAACTTCCGTGTTGAGGCGCGGCTCTCACAGCTGTGGAGGCTGTGCAAGGGATGGAGTGGGGGTGGGCGAGGTGATTCAGGGGTCCAGGTCAGCTGTGCACAGCTCAAGGGCAGGGCCCCTGCCTGGCTCTCCTCCATGTACCCGGCACGTCTGGGGCTCTCAGCTGGTGCTGACACGGGAACCAAAAGGATCGTTCTACTGGTTTGTGGCCACAGTTTGGAAGGGGGAAGAACAGATTCTTACCAGATGGAGATGGTGGGAGGAAGGCAACTGACAAAGGGAAAGGCCTATGAGGTAGTCATTATGTTATTATTACAGTTAAAAAATAAATTGAGGCTCAGATATGTTATATAACTTGTCTGAGGACACCCAGCTAGTGAGAGGCTGGAATTCCAGCCCGGGCCCAGCCCGGGCCCATGTAACAACCTCCCTCGTTCCTTTAAAATCAGCCTGTGGGCCTCTCCTGTCGCATCTTGAACCCTAGTGGGCCTCCCCAGAGAGAAGCTCCACCTAGTGTGTCCCTGTGGACAGGGGACCAAAGCAGGCGTGGGTGTCACCAGGCCTCCCCTCTGGCCTTCCTGCCAAGCTCTCTGCATTCTGGAGTTAATGAGGGCAGAGGGAGGGGCCATGGGTCCAGCAGGGTTAACTACAAGGGGACAGAGGCCCTGGGGAGGGCCTGGCTATAACAGGAGCCCAGACTGGGGACAAGGGTGGCGTCACAGAGAGGCTGTTTCCATCTCTATGTCCCGAAGTCCTGTCTCCTGTGGAAAAGTTGGAGGTGAGGGCAGTGAAGGGGAGATGGCAGGATGTGTCTATATTTTCTTCCTGTTCCCCCTGAGGGCGCTGTCTCCATCCTCTTGGTGGAGCTGCGCTGGTTGGGCAGGGGACCAGACAAGAAAGAGGACTGGGTGCCAGGCACTCGCTCCAGGCAGCTGTCCTGCAGGGACGGAATAAGGCTTGGATCTCGCTTAGTGCCACATAGTCACCAAGCCGTTTCTATTAGGTGTTGTATGAAATCTAGCTTATTATTTCTCTGGGTGGTAGAAAAGTGTCGAGGGGAAGGGGGGCTGCACTAGCCTTCCTCTTGTAATTTATTCCGATTCAGGAGTCAGGTCACTGAGCTCTGCTTGGTGGCACCCTGTGCTGGCTGTGGCCTGGGGGGAGACTCTGGGGGTTGAGATGCTCCGTTGCTGACTCAGCTGGGGATCAGCCTGAGGCTGCCTTCTCAGGGGTCAGGGCAGGGCTGGGAGGGGTGGCTGACCTGTCTCTCTACCTGGGCCCTCGAAGAAGATGAAGGAGAGCAGCATCGATGACCTGATGAAGAGCTTGGACAAGAACAGCGACCAGGAGATCGACCTCAAGGAGTACTCGGGGACTTCCCTGGTGGCGCAGTGGCTAAGAATCCGCCTGCCAGTGCAGGGGACACGGGTTTGAACCCCGGTCCTGGAAGATCCCACATGCCGCGGAGCAACTAAGCCTGGGCGCCACAACTACTGAGCCTGCACTCTAGAGCCCACGAGCCACAACTACTGAGCCGTGTGTCACAACTATTGAAGCCCGCGTGCCCACAGCCTGTGCTCTGCAACAAGAGAAGCCACCACAATGAGAAGCCCGCACACCGCAATGAAGAGCAGCCCCCACTCGCCACAACTAGAGAAAGCCTGTGCGCAGCAATGAAGACCCATCGCAGCCAAAAATAAATAAATGAATAAATAAATTTATTAAAAAACCCAACAAAAAAACAAACAAAAAAAGGAGTACTCGGTGTTCCCGACCATGCTGTGCGTGGCCTACAACGACGTCTTCCTGGCGGGCAACCAGTGACTGGGCCCTGGCTCCTGGCCCCTGCAGCTCCTCTCACAGACCCTCCGTGGCCCCTTGCCTTCCCCTCCCTCCCAGATGGACCCTGCTTCAGCCTTCCCTTCCAGCAGAGGAAATAAGGGTTTTCGATTCCAGGTGTCCAGGGCTGGTTTGGAACTCTTGTCCACCTTGGCTGGGGGTGGGGTGGGACCAGGCACAGCTTCTCCTTAAGTGGGTGGGCAGCCTCTGGGTGTTCGGGTTTTGGGTTTCCACCCCACTTCCTGTTCTTCAGTGCAGATGTGACTAATCTTATCCAGGCTTAGTTTGGCCCTTCAGGAAAATGAGGAAGTGGGGCCAGGCTTTTGCTTGCCTCCAGGGAATGCTGCAAATATGCAGAGAAAGCTAAGGGGGAAAGTGCTTTGAGAGTGAGGACACTGGGGGTGGCTGGGAAGCAGTCCCCGAGGGCAGTGGTGGACAGGCCACTCTGACTTGCCACCAGCTCACAGGAGGCCCCCCTGAGGACACTGGTAAGAAGGGGGAGTCTGGCCTTGACCTCCACGCCGGCCCCCTTTCCCTCTCCTCCGTTTACCCCCAGCAACAAGCCCTACCATCACCTCTGGGATCCAGGGCTTTCTGCTCTCCCCACCTCCCTCCCCGTATCAAAATCCTTTCTTAGGAGAGGATCTGACAGACTTTGCATTGGAGGGTAAATAACTAATGACACTTACAGGGCTTGACTCTGGTGTGTGTGTGCACTTTAATGGGCAAGAGGCTGCGGGCGGAATTCAGGTGCGGGAATGGGGGAAGGGATCGAGGGTGGTGGTGGGAATTTATTTTCCCTGGGGGGGATGTGTGTTCTAGATGTCCTTTAAATCGTATCCTGTAGACCACTGGCTGCTCCCCGTCCTTCATCTAGGGTTCGCCCCCGTTTCCACACACACACACACACACACACACACACACACACACACACACACACACACTCTGATACTGCCCGGCTCTCCGCCTCCTCCTCTTGTCACATCGCGACGGGGAGCAAACTGAGTTTTGGAGATTAGGAGGGAGCTCGAGGTCACTGGGCTGGCCGCGGTCTCCCCTCGGCGCCCCCGCCCCGCGGATCCCCGAACAGCCCCGGGGCAGGAGGCGTGGAAAGTTTTGGGGCGAGGATGTCGGGTAAAGGGCGGGCAGGGTGGGGCGCGGGCGGGCAGTGGGCGGCCGGCCTCCCGGAAGCGCCGCTATAAGGCTGGCGGGCTGGCCACACGGCCATCCCCCTCGGCCGCTCCTTCTCGCTTCGCTGCAGCCGCGGTGAGTCCTCGCTAGGCAGGGG